GATGTTTTTTGTGGGGCCGTAAGGATTTTTTTTGGACGCCACAAGCGGAGGTTGATAAAGAGTTTTGAGAAAGGATGAGAAAGTGCGGTCCTAGATTGTGAGGGGGCCTGGGAAGATGAATCGGAATTTGGAGCCGTTTAATTTCTGCTAGGAGCAGATGGCGGGGTTTAGGTTTTCGATGAAGGATGGGGTGTTTGCCCTCTTTCTGCTCTAATTAAAGCCATCACACTGACATTATCTAGCCCTCCGCGCGGTAACAAAGGTGGCGATCAGAGAAGCGAGGACGAGGGAACTGAGGCAGGAGCTGTTGAGGAGTGAGACTTTGAAGAGGTATGTATTGCCCTTTTGCTCCCCCAATCAGTAGCAATTGCTAATTTTCTGTTGATAGATACTTTGAGGAAAACCCCGCCGAGCTCTCCCACCTCCGTCACGACGGCGAGCTGGGCCACAAGGCGAGACAGCAGGCCCATCTGAAGCACGTCCCTGATTATCTTTTGCCCAAGGAGGCAAAGAAGGAGATCACGAAGGGGTCGGTCGGGTTTGTGCCGTTTAAGAAGGTGGACAAGGACAAGAAGCACAGGGGCAAGTTTGGGGCGAAGGGGAAGGGGAGGTCGTTCAAGGTTGGTGGGGGGAGGAAGGGGGATCCGTTGAAGACGTTCAAGGTCAGGAGGAAAAAGTGATGAGCACGAGGACACGAGCGAGTGGGTGAGGCTGAGGGCTATGTGGTTAAAAAAGAGATGAGTTTATACCATGTGGCATTTTGTTGAGTTCTGTGTATAATGGGAATTTCTCTTGTTTTCTGACAGGATCAAGACAGATCTTGTGACAGATTTCATTCGGCTTTGAGGGGTATGGTAAGTTTGGCACAGAAGTCCGAGGGGCATAGAAGACGTCTGTTCTTTGAATCATTTCTTTTTGCTTGGACTTGAACTTGATACTCTTTCATCTCATGGATGGATCGGATCAAACCATCAATCACAATCTCATCTGAGTTGACTCGGGGCCAGAACAAACACATCAAACCAGATCAGAAAGTTCGCTCTCACCACTCAACACAATGCCACCATCATCAAACCAAGAATACCATGACACCCCTCAACGAGCCTACCAATCCCACTACCCCCCACTCCTCAATCCACCACCACCACCATCATTTCCAGGGTCACCCGACCCAAACCAACCACCCGCCTTCCATTGATCAACACCTCCAGAAGGGGGATGTCCCAACAACAAGGCCGACCTCGGAACACGTGAAGACGGCTTCAGTTCATTCCACAGGAGCTAACGGGTCCTCATTGATTGCCTTTTATCACAACCTCGTCATGCACTTTCTGCAAACCGTTATCCGTGTTGAGAGTCGCGGTAAGGGCGGAGATGGCTTGGCCATTGATGCAAGTCGAGACAGGCTGAGAGGTAGGCTGAGTGGCGGGTGTACTGGGCATTGAATTGGTACCGATGCTTGTGCCCTTTGGAGTGCCACCGAGAGGAGGATGGGTAGGTAAAGAGGTAGTGGGAGGGGGGGCGCTGGTAAGACATGTAAGGGGCTCTGTAAAGGTTCTCTCTTGATGAAAGCCCCTCTTCACCCTTTTGAAGATTTTCTCTCCCATTCTTCTCTCCGGCAACATTTCGCCAATCCAGTCTCCATCAGCCGTGGCCACACTTCCTTCAGCTTACACCAGTCATTCGCATAGTCGGGTACAATATCCCGCCCATACCGAGCATACCTTTACTATAATAATGTACTAAAAGACCTTTAAAGAAAGTCAATAAGCCTTTGAATTATCTTTAAAGGCCTATTAACTATCGTTGAAAGTCTGGTAGTCATCCTTCAAGGTATGGTTCGCAATAAAATATGGGCCAACAGATTTTGTGTGTGTGTTGTCAATCATTTCGGTGCAGGGTGCTCAGTGAAAAAGGGGGGAGGAAAAAAGGGAGAAGAACAGTGGGCAGGGGGCAGTGAAAGGGGATATAGATAAGAGGTTATGTTTCATCATGAATGTTTACGTCTCTTTTGCACCACCATCATCATCATCATCATCATCCCACATCTTATATACTCCGCGAAACCAAACATGAATTGAAGCCATAAAAGAATAAGAGATATCATAATATAGGGGGTATCATCATCAACAAGTACACGCTCAATTTCACAAACCACAACACCCACACCCACACCCACACCCACACCCACTCACTCTACGCCTCAGCCCCTCTTCTCCCCTCAACCTCATCACTCCTCACCCTCCTCAAAACCAACTTCTCCCCCCGTCCAAAGCACCCCAGACAAAGCGGCAACGGCACCGCAACCAAGGCCAAAACCGCATGAAAAACCAACGCCCTCTCCATCTTTCCTCCTTCTCCCTTCAGCGCACCACTCACAACAATGAATATCCCCCCCAACACCTGTCCCCCGCTCCAGGCTAACGTGCTCGTAACCTCGGGACTGATCGGATGCGTCAGCTCAACCAAAAACTCCACCACCACCGGCACGAGACTGAAGCTCGCCGCCCCCATCGCAGCCATGATCACATACGGCCCTGCCACCCCCCCGCTGTCCCTAGTCCCAGGCATCCAGATGAAAACCAAGTAACAAAGTCCAACAATGGGGACCGCGATCCGAACGGCCAAGAGGTATGATTTATACTTGTCGATCAAAGGCGACGTGATGGCCGAAGCAACAAGGCCGACGACGATGAGCAGTGCCCCAGCAACACCGGCTTCCTCATCGTTGTAACCGTGTGGCAACAAGACTTGGTTGAGGAGAGACGAGATACTATTGAACAAACCGACATAAATCGCAAAGGGGACGAACAAGAGATAAAATTCCGTTTGGCGAAGCAGGAACTTGGCCGACGATATCAACGACAGTTTCGGTGTCTGTGAAGAAGGTGCCACCGGTGTAGGGGGGCGGGCAGGAATAAAAAAGGCGGGGAGCGCGCAGACCGTCGACTTTGCCACCTCAGGGTTAGAGATATAAACAGGCAAACGGCGGCGGGGGGGAGGGAGGATACAAAGGTGGAACTCACAATCACAGAAACATACAACACCATCCTCGAAACATCCCCCGGACCCTCAACCCAAAACGGAATAATCAGCTGCCCCAGCGCAGCCCCAAACGGGTTCGCAAGCGAGGTCAAGGCCGTAGCCGCCACCCGCCCCCGGTTGGTGAACCACAAGTCCGAATACCGCGCCGGAGCCGCAAGGACAAAAGGCTGAGCAAGACCGGTAAGGATCTGGCCAAACATCACCACCCCAAACAACCCCTTTTCACCAGAGCGACACCCCGCATAGCGGATCCAGTTGCCCACGAGAATCAAGGCCGCCGAGGTGACAATCGACGGCTTCGGCCCGAGATGCAACACATAAATCACCAGCGGGGTGATGGCCGTAAAAGCAAACAAAAACGCCGTGCTGAGCCAGTTGATGGTGTTCTCGTCTGTGGAAAAATACCGAGCTGCGTGGCTGGCGACGGGGGAGAAGGTGAGCCACTGGTGACATGTTAGCAACCCACTCTACCCAGCTCAGGACATGCTTGGTCCAACCCAACGGCGGGATTCAATTCAAGGTCACGACACGGTCAGATCTGGCCCCGACGAGGTAGATAGGCTTACATCCCAACTAACAATCACATTCAACAACGTCAACTGCACCAGCCCAAACCACCTCCTCCTGTAGACTTTGTACTCGACCATCTCCGCCGCGCTCACACTCGCGCCCCCCGACCCGGCATCCGCCTTTTTTGCTGTGTCCCTTGTTGTCGCGACAGTTTCGTTTAGTTCAATCTGCATCTCCTCCCCTGATGCAGCCCCTCGTCGTTCATCCCCCTCTGATAGCTTTCGCCACCCAGTCCCAGTGGTGTTCATCGCGTCGTTGTTTGGAGTCAAAACCTCTTTCTCATCCGCCGTCGATTGTGTGGTCGGCGACGTCAATCCATCCTCCTTCCTCGCCATTACGAAAAAGAAGGGCACGCGCGACCCTTATATTGCCAAATGTATGGCCCAACAATAAGTTGGTAGTGTACGGTATGCAAGGCACAGCAGGATGGAAACGGCGGCCGCGGCACACGACCGTGTTCCTGCGTCTGACTGGCTGGGGTCGGTAAATTTGCGAATGTGTTTGGGCTCAGTCGCTGTTCGCGGGGTGCGTGGGGTTTCAGTCTGGTCAAAAAAAGGCGCGAGAGAGGTTGGAGAAGGAGAAGGGAAATAGATATGGATCGGAGGAGAGATGAGACGGCTGTTTTTCCCCTCCTCGACGTCGCTTCCTTGCACATGGGAAAGGTGTGCAGGTGATGAAAGGGGAGGGGGGAAACCTCTTGGCGACTAAACCAGGTTGAGCTGAGGGATTGTGTGTAAAGAAGGAAGGGTGACATTGGAGACGGGGGGGAGTGTCTAACCTTCTTTGTTCGACGTAGGAGGTCAAAGGAGGGGGATGGTCACCACCTGAGACGGGGTGATATCCTCAATAGTAACAGAAATCACGGTTTATTTATCAAGTATGTAGGTGGTTCTATAAGGGGGTGGTGATTGGCTGGGATGTTTTGTGCATGAGTGAACTGCGGGTAGTTCATGTGGTTTGTGGTACAAGTGTGTGTATGTATGGGCTTGAGATTCCACCTCCAAGATATCCATCAATGGGACTCCAAAAGCCTTCAAAATGTAAAATGTGAAACCAGGTGCCGTAGACTTTGAGAAGCTGTAAGGGGCAGAGAGGAGGCAAAGTACGCTTCATGTGGCAGTGTCCCTCTCTTGCTTCACTGCTCAGATGTTAATTAATGATAATAGAAGTAAAGTTCTCAAATCAATTGACGAAAGCACGCAACGAGACCTTACATACAAAGTCAGTGCTGCTCACTACCATGATGAGACGAAAAGCTCTCTGATTTTAAAGCAGCTTGCTCCCTGTTCGATCCGAGTTGAGATGAGATGGGAAAACCCCAACTGAACAGAGCGATGGCTCTCATCCCAACTCCCAGCTTTCCCAGGGTCTTGGTTAACTCACCCACTCCGCCACCGCTGCACAAACAACCTCCACGATCCCATCATGCTCACCCAAACACCGTAACCGTGCAACCATCACCATGTCTAGCCCCCGTGTAACCACACCTGTGTAACCACAAGCAGATCATACCAACCTCGCAAAACCCCATCAGGGTAAACCCCAAAGCCGATGTAAAAGTCATGTGGTCGAATGTACATGTCCGGGACCATCTATGTCTCACTTCAAGTGATAGTGACAGCCCAGGTGCTGACTGCGTCAACAGTGGCCTCATCCATTACTCAATTGTTCAAAGCCTTGTGGTACCAGCAAACACATGCACGTAGGTACATCCCAAAACCGTGGAGATCCCCTCATCTCATCTCACAGAGCACGTCAGATCCGGTCAACAGCACAAACCAGACAAATATGTGTGTGACACTGCATATGTTCCCTGATGGGTTTTTTTTGGTCCGGTCCTTCGGGCCATGAAAGTGGTAGTTCTCTTTTAGGTAGTCGGCATTGCTCTTCAATCGATGACGGCAGGTGTGCTCTCTGCCTGTATCCTGAACTTGGGCTGCTTGGCCAATTTTGGCTGTCGTATGCGCTATGTAAGCGGTCCAGTAAAGACCATCAACACTGCCAATACCTGCAAAAACACTCATAAAACAATCATTTGCCCCCAAAAATCTAATGCGTTTTCGTTTTTTCGTTACAAGGTGTGTGAGTCATGGTAAAGTGACAATGTCGGGAGGGAGAGAGAGAGAGAGAGAGAGTTATGATACAAACAAACACCTGGAGTAGTTTCCACCTATCCCCCCAAGGTATACACACATCATTCGATTATACAGTGAAGAGAGAGAGAGAGAGAGAGAATTCCCTCCCCTCCACCCAGCCATTTTTTCCAGGCCCAAATTTCCCCCCTTCTCGTGCCTCCCCCCTTCCCCCCCCTTCTCCCTTCCTCTCTCTCGCATTTGTCTATCGGAACACCGTAACCCATTCTATCAAAGCCGTGCATGCAATGTGCCGAGAAAAAAAGGGCGCCCCATCCGTATCCTAAGAGTCTAGAAGAAGAAAGCCGGGTCCGTGATTGGTGGTTGGTAAACAGAGAGGGGGACCATCGAGAAGGGTTGATAAATTTGTGTGAATTTATTTGAGGACGGACCAGAGCTTGGGCGCGGCGCAGGCGGTAGCGCAGTGGGCAAGGTGGAAGACTGTTTTGTGTAACCAGCCAAGTCAGTGCCGTGGACATGTAGAACTCATGGACAATCAAGACATATAACTTACACTCCTCGACGCAGTCCTCCTTGGCGCCGCCCTCCTCGGACTGGGCAGCGGTGACACGCTCGACGCACTCGTCAAAGTGGTGCTTGGCAGGGGCGCACTCCTTGGAGTTCCGGCACTCTGTATACATCAAAAAACAACCCCCAGCGTCAGCAGTTGTTCTCACAAAAAAGCAAGGGCACAACAGCATGCCAGCAGAAGCGGCAGATGTGTCATCGAGTCGGTCGGCCACTGCGGGCCCACGCCTGCCCGCTCAGCTCGCAGAGCGACATGGCAGCACGCCACATCTCTTGCTGCTCCTCCTCGACAACCATAGCTCGCTGCTGCTGGCGGCTCCGTGGTGTGCATGTTTGGGTGGTGGTGGTGGTGGTGGTGTGTGGTGATTTGTTGGTGACGGCATAGGCGGCGACGGCGACGGGGGTAGCAGCAGCGATGTACCCACCTTCCTCGAAAACATCCTTGGGATCTTGGAGCTCCTCCTCCTCCTCCTCCTCCTCCTCTTCCTCTTCATCCTCCTCCTCAGCAGCCTCCTCAGCGGCGGGCTCCTCCTCAGCGGCAGCAGCCTCGGCCTTGGTCTTGGTGTCCTCCTGGGTGGTCTCGGCGGTGGTCTCCTCGGTCTGTATACGTCGTCGAATTATCCCGCTAGTCAGTCAGCTGTTTCAAACAAGCAACAATAAAAATAAATATATAGCTTCCAGAGCTTTCGATCCTCTCTAGCATGACATGAAAGTGTTGTTGTCGGTCCATATCACCCGGGGTTAGCCAGCAACCCCCCGGAGGTGGTGGGCAGCCGGCAAACAGCTAACCTTCAGGGCTCAAGGAGAAAGGGCGCATACCGTTTCGTGAGCGGGAGCCTCGGCCTCGGCCACCGACCAAGGGGTGGCAGCCTCGACGAGGTCAGTGATGGTATCCCAGAAACCCATTGTTGCAAGCCGGGGCCTTTGGTGGATAGTCAATGGCAAGAATGGGCGTGAGCAGTCAAGTGCCTCCTCCAAGGTATCGCGCGACGTTGGAAGCTCGCAAAAATCGGCCGCATCGAAAACCGGCCGGGCTTGCAATTGCGGGATTTTGATTGGCCGCCCGCCCGAGGAGGAGTGACGAGCTGCACCCGACTACTTCCGCCCGATCACGTGAAATGCTGAGGTAATTATTTGTGACCTTTACTGACAAGAGAGAGCACAGTAGAGAGAGGCCCTCCTGATCAGATCCATCATCAGCAAGGCAACCAACCCATGGGAAACCTGAAGGATCTCGTAACTGTAACTGTGACTCCGTGACAGCAAAACGCACAGCCTACCTTACACAGCCCTCTCTTACCTCAATCATACCTTTGCTGTACCGAAGACTATGTACAAATACCAAACGGGAATAACCCAGTTTCTCTCCCAAGTCACACGACGCAATCTCCAAGCGAGTAAGCCGCAGGTTTCCCGGATCTCTGAGATGATTGGGAAAAGCAATGTTTTCTTCTTCCGACTCCAGCTTACATACCAAATCCTCCACGTCCCCCCTCCATCCACCAGAGGCCTCTTTGTTTTAGGGGAAAAGTAAAGTAGATGCAAAAATCATCAAACTAAAAAAGACACAAAGACAGGAAAACACGCCCAACGCAATGCAGATAAAAGAAAACCTTCCGTGTTGTTTCTGTTCCACACTCCTATACCCACTCACTCCCCCAATCATCAAGCACCAAAACAAAGCAATCACACATTAGAATAAAAACCCTACAAGACCACAAAAGAATCTGAGTATCCGTAAACTGTTGTTATCAAGAAAGGTTGAAGAGGGATTGCGTTATTCAGCAGGGCTTGACCAAAAAAAAAAGACGCAGGTGAAGAAGAACAAGAAGAAGAACAAGAAGAAGAACAAGAAGAAGAACAAGAAGAAGAACAAGAAGAAGAACAAGAAGAAGAAATACAAGAAGAAAAAAGAAAGCATGAATGCGGTCCAAAGAAGCTGTCCCTTTGCTACTCCCCAGCTCGAAATTCATTGCCGCTCTGCATCCTGCCTCACTCTCTCCTCGTACTGCGTCGAAATAGCCTGAGTCTGCGCCTCGACATAGTCCGGGGGCGGCTCGTCGGGAACGGGTGGAGGCGGCTGAGGCTGATCAGAAGTGCCGGCCGGGGCACTGCCGGCCGGGCCGGAGGAAGTTCCGGGCGCGTTGTCCTCGTAGGGCGGAGGAGGCTCCAAGTTCGAACCGGGGTTCAGCCCCATTTCCCGGGCATGGTGAAGACGTTCCTTGAGCCACTCGTACTTGTTCTGGAAGTCGCTGTGACCCCCATCCCTGAAGACAAACTTGACCTCGATCCGGGGGATGTGCATGGGGATGCCGCCGCCGGGGACAGGCCTGACGGTGCCACCCCAGCTCCAGGGGCCAATCCATGACGACTGTACATGGGTGTCGGTAAAGTTCAAGGCGGGCGCAAAGAACGACTTGAAATTCTCGCTAGGTCTAATAGGGAGATATATCACCTGTGAGAGGGGGGACCGGTGAGCTCTGAGCAACTTCCTAACAAGGAGAGGGGGCGGTGGGATGGATGGTCTTACCCGCTCGTTGGTAATGTAGGCAATGCCATTATCGACTTTGAGAGTGTATGGGTTGGCGATATTGAGCTCTTTCGGCGTCGTGATCTCCAGCGAGACTCGTGGCCGTGAGGTGTGCAGGATTTTCTCCCCGGGGATAGGCACAATCTCGCCGTCACGGGTCAGCATGACCCAGCTGTCCTCATCGTTAGACCGAGAATATCGCAAGATGGTCCATTGATGCTGCTCGGCCAAGGCCTGATCCATTAGGCGAGAAGAAAAGAATGTGTATTGGATGTGGGGTTGGCGAGGAACAGGCTTAGAACTGTCCACGACAGATGGGAAGGAGACGGCAGCGGTGTCATGGATGGGTGAGAGGGAGGTGGTAAGGGGGCGCGGCAGGGGGGGAAGGTGGGTGAAGAGTAGAAGACATGAGGAGGGCTTGATTCGGGTCAGAAGGGCAAAGCACACTTACTTTATTGACATGATGAGGAGGCGGGTGTGGTTAGTCGCCTGCAGATGGCCCGCTACCCGCAGAGATGGTGGTCTTGGGTGCGTCCCACACCAGGTCCAAGGTAGGGGGGGGCAGAGAGCTCGATGGGGCTCGGTCTCGATTCGTTGCTTTGGGTCGCTAGCAGGCAGCAGGGTTTACACAGTTAATGGTAACTAGCGGCTTCGATCTGGTAAGCTACCTATATGGATGGTGTCAAAGAATATTACTGTACGGCTGCCGTGGTATTTTTGAGTGGACCGGGCCCAGCCTGTTGTAGGTGCTGCTAGCCTATGCTTTCTTTCCTCGACTTGATGCTGCGATGCACCTCGGCAAGCCAACCTGGCAGATGGATGGGTGGATGGTGGATGGGTGTATGTAGGTGGGTGGTCAAGGTGAGGTGAGCTGTCGCCAGACGGGAAGACGGGAGAGGTCAGAGGCAGTCAGTCGGCCCAGTGATGGCAAAAATGCTGCCAGATCAGATCGGCTTCAGGAGGCGGGAGCTAAAAAAGGTAGGGGGCGGTGTTTGATAAATCTTCCCGAGAAGGCGGATGGCGATGATACAACGGAGCTTTCCTACACAACTACCTACAATACCTGGTAGTAGTAGGGTCTCATGTGAGACGCGGCATGGAAAAGACAAAAACCGTCCGCCCGCTGGGTACACTACACTAGAACCCCGCGCTGGCCAATGCGGCGGGAACCAGTGGGACCTCTCACCTTCAGCCTGACCGCAACAAAACCGATGATACAATACCTACAGTACACCACAGCACTACAGCCATTTATCAACCTGTCAGAGGCCCGGCTGGAATCTCACGATTTCGTTTCAGGCTCAAGCCATTAGGTCCGTCTCTGATTTGACAATCGGTGATAAAAATGGAAGGAAGGCGGGATATAGTCAACCTTGCATTGCCCACGTCATTCTCTCAACCCACCTTCCCATCACCACGGGCACCTACCCTACCCACACTGGAGGCAGGGGCATTCCATCCAGGCTGCTGGTCTGATATCTACCTACGGTATCTGCCTTAGAATAGGCAATGCTCTCTTTGGTCAGACCAATCTCAGACCTGCAAGTTCATGCTTTTTTCTCGTCGCACGATGGCCACGAACCCAAGCAAGAACGCCATCTGCCGGCCAGCGAACTACTACTACACTACTACCTGCCCATCTACGTATGTACGGACAGCCGGCGACGCGCGACGTGCAGGTCAACTCCCCTCTTTGGGGGTCCCAGCTAATTTCCAGCTAATAGAGTACCGGCTGCTAGGGACAGGAGAAGCAAGTCAGACTGGAGGTGCCCTGCTCATGCTCCCCGCGCTCGACGACACTTCGCCCGTCGTTATTCGTACACGCCGCCTCTCTGCTGTTGGAATGTAACCTCACTCCCAGTCGTCCCCCTGCTTATCGTCAATTGAGTTTCGTAATGGAGCCTCCATCATCTCTCCCGTTTCCCGTTATGTCCTCGGCGACCGTTGGGAATCCACTGCTGTTTGAGCCTCTTGTCGTTTCTTTCTCCAGGCAGTGGTCAAGTGGTCAGTTCGACAGCTACTACATACAATCCAGGGCCAAGCCCCAAGAAGAGAGGTGGTGGTCGTCCAAAAATACTGTACCGAAACAGATCTCTGATAGAGCTGCACAGGTACCCCTGTCCCTGGCTGCCGGGACGCCCACACGGGCCAGCCTCTCGGTGCGCCGCGGGGGTGACGGGAATGGTGGGCACCCCCTTTCCGTCTTGTCCCATATCTGGACCAGAACCCCCAATCTGCAAGTCCGCGGGAGGGGAGCCACTTGTCAATGCTCTGCTCTGCTGTGACCTCTGCACCCTCTCGTCAAATATCCAGCGTCGCTGCCCCCGGCTGTTCTGTTGTCCCGGTACGGAGTACATTCTGCAGTACGGAGTACATACCATGCCACCGCCAAGGGCAGACCTGGCAGACCTTGCGTTAGGGCTAACATTGCCAAGTAAGTACCAACTAGCTGGGCTCGCTGGTGTCCCTGCTTGCCTCGCCTTGCCACCTATCAAGACTGCGGATCTCTCACCGAGTATCAGGGGCCGCAGGGCGCTTTCCCGAAGCCCGGCCTTCTCCAACCCAATGGAAGGCTCACCGCCCGAATCACCAGCCAGTGAAACGGTTGCCATGAGGCCCGCAAGGGCCAGCTCCGACGACGACGTCGGTACCTTTGGTGGGGCTCTCCAGGGCGTTTCCCGAGACCTCATTCTTCATCATTCATGCCGACTGCCTGCCTGCCCATTGAAGCATGACGTCTTTTTGTCTTCCAACCGGGGATCCGTCCGGTCTCGCCCACCGCCGTTACAACAACTGAGCATAGCTCGGACCAATAGATACCTAGTCTGGGGCCCTTGGCCCGGGTCAATGAACTACCGCGGTTCTAACACCGTGCCACTTGCACACACGTACAGGTTTTCTCTCCTCTTCTCCTGCAGCAGGACGACAGCAGGCTTCCGGCCGATCATGTTCTTCTTTCCACGCTTTTGACGACAATGTGTGTTGAGGTGTCTGGAGATCTCAGCCCTGCTGTCAGTGATCGTCTTAGGGTCCAAGATGCAAAACTTTCTAGTGCTTCTCCGGGCATGATTTTGTCATTGCTTTTCTTTTTCGTACCAGACTCGAGCCACTTTTATCCCCGGGTACAGCTAGAAGATGCAATCAGCCGGCGCCTCATGCCGCATCGCTCGACGACACACCTCATCACTGCTCATCCGCCTCGCAAGCTCGGCCTCTCCAGTCTGACATGGTTCCTGAGATATGCGCAGGATCACCCAACCTGCATCCTCTGTACTCCAATGATGGCCGCCAGCGCGACGTCTCCGGGTGCCCTAGACGCTGTTCGTCAGGTTTTCCACATCCTCATCATATTCAGGGGAGACCCGCTGCCAAGCTCATGCACCAACGTCTTCCTACCGCTTTTGCGAGAACCTGCCTCGGTGCTTCGAGAAACGACCGTGCTGTACATGGCTGCATCTTGACGGCTTGGTCACGTTCGTTCATCGTCGGACTCACCAGCTCACCCCCCCAAATGTGGAAAGCCGGGCTGCGGTCGTCCGGACTGCTTGTTGACACCCCCCTGGAACGATCTTGTTGTTCGGGCGGTAAGACTCGTGGCTAAGTGTTATGCGGCAGTAGTAGAGCGTGATGTTGACCGTTCCTGACAGTAACACAGACCTGATCTTCAGCACATCGCCTCTTAGTTCTGGGGCTGTCGGGAGGCGGATCCTTGCGTAACTGTGCATGCACACTACACATCCGTTACACAGGACCGCGCAGCCCGACAGCCATTTCGCCTGGTGTGTTTCCCTATCGGGATGTATTGATCATCAAAAGAGACGCCTCGCTTCGGGATCCCTCTTCTTATAAGAGGGTGCGTGGTCCCCCAAGACGGCCGAGAACAATCTACTGCGTCCAGAGGATTTTCAAGGACAACACTCTCCGAGATTGATAAGCGGCGGCTGAACAGATTTACTGAGCTGGCACGCATTCGACAGAAGATAGCCGCGGAGATCCTGTCTGTCTCGAGTCATCGGGCGTTAAGTGGTTTCCGTACCTGCCGCTGTCAGAGGGAGCAGCACAAAGAGAAGTTGGGGCATGCTTGTGCCTGGGATCGATGCTGCCTGAAAGTATAGGGGACTCTCGGAAGGCATTGCCGTTGTCAAGAACTCGCCTCAGTCAGGACATCTTTCTCCGACAGCTGCAAGCCAGCTCGGCTTCCCACAGGAGGGGTGATCAGTCACTTCTATCCCCAGAAGGCCTGCCTTTTCTCCGGCCCTTCTCCCGGCTGCCAAGGGTCAAGACAGCCTATAGCATCGGGCAGACATGGGCAACAGGGGGATGGTGGTTCGAGTTGGTGATACCGAACTCACCCCAGGCAGACACTGATTGGAATCGCAAGCACACCCTCTCTACTCCCGTCCACACGGCCTGCCGGTGTGATTGGGTATCATGGCGAAGGGAGCACCTGCGGGCCAGCAAGAGCAGTCTGTTATCGGCTCAGCTGACTCTCAGAAGGGGGTCGAAACATCCGGCTGGGTCTTTGGGCACCTACAGAATCTCCTCCCCACCGACCTCCCTGTCAACGCATGTGGCGGTTGTCCCTGCTCCCCGACGAGGCCGTTAGCCACCTATGGACACTCGAATATCGGCTATCCCGGACACCAGCTCAAGAGCATAATGTGTGGATTCCTCGACGGGCAGGTCAGCTTCTTGGGCCCATCCTCCTGGAAAGCGGATCAAAGAGCATCGAAAGAGGCAGGTGAGCTCGTTGTACTGATGAGTCTCGGTAAAATGGTTCTTGTGGTAAATACATGATGAAATTTTCATCAACCATACAGTCATGACGAGAGCTTCATTAGCCAAACACGCCTCTCCGAACTCCCAACCATGGTCATATCGATGACACAGAGAAACATCCCCGGCATCTGGAGATCAGGGGGGGGGTGTGTGGGGAAGGAAACAAGGTCAATCCAGTCATAGTCATCCCCGATGAATGTGCAATCTCCTTTTCATGTTCTCGCCCCAGAGCCTATTGTGGCCCACACCTTCCAGCCTTCGTGCCCCGTACCCGGAAGCAACCCCATAGAGCGGACAATACTGCTGTCTTGGGAGCCTAGCAGCGGGGAGGTCTGCCGTCCTTGCCATCTCGCCACTCCTCTAGGACTTTTTCAAAAATACACAAGGACATCGATTGTGGCGTAGACAAGCAGCGGTCTGTGTCAGCCACTCACCACCCACACGACACAAATCCCGTCCGCGAACGGCTCGATACCCCTTCCCGTTTTGGGATCATGTATGATATGATGGGCCTTGATGTCTAGATCAGACAGGAACCGTGTCTCTTTTTCCGTGGCGAGCATACGGGAGATGCCTTGAGACGCACGTCTTGGGAGGCGAATGTTTGCCGAAGGGGGTAGAGAGGGGCGAGAAGGTAAAAAAAAAGAAATCATGAAATTGTAGGCGAGGTCAAGACAACTCAGCACCGCTGCCACAGCTGCAACAACAACAACAACAACAACAACAACAACAACAACAACAACAACAACAACAACAACAACAACAACAACAACAACAACAACAACAACCACAACCACAGCCACGACTGCAGCAATAACAACAACAGCAGTGACAGTAAGAGGACGAGCAAACCTGCCCATTCACATGCTGGCCAACACACGGAGCCCAGTTCTACAGACAAGTCCACACCAAGTCAGCATAAGGTTGGCAATAAACCGGTTTGAATTAATCCTAACAAAAAAAAAGGTTCCCTATCCTTACTCCAGTTCATGTACATGTCGTTTCGTGATGTGAGATGCGGATGTGTGTGTGGTGCTGTTCCTCCTCGTCTCTGTCCATCTCCTGGTCTTTCATGTCCAACCCCTAACCCTCCTCCTTGCTGTTCCAACACTAGGTCATCCCACCCTGACCCTTTCTTGATCTCACACCCCTAACCCTCGGTTTCATACAACTTTTTGTACAAACGCCCCCTCAAGACAACCAAAAATCATCCGCCTTCACCACCCCCCCCACCCTGGGCGTCCCAATCTTTGGCGTCATCCCTCCACCTCCACCACCACCACCGTTACCAACATGCGCAACAGAAGTATTAATCCCCAACCCAACCCCTTGACTCCCACTACCACCATCCCCAACAACAGCCGGAACAACCTGCGGCAACGGCCCAAAGTCAAACTTGGGCATCTCCAACCTCGGCGGCTGGACAGGCGGCTGCTGCTTCTTGGCCGGGCTCGCCCCCCTCGACTTGGCCTCCATCGGCGGACCAAACCTGACATCCCTCACATCCCACCCGTCCTCCACCGCCGCCTTGACCCACGTCCTCAGCCCATCGTGAACGCCCCCATAAAACTTTTCCTTGCACATCCTCATCGTGCCCCCCATCGCCTTCTCCCACCCGCTAACCCTCAGCTCTTCCCTCAGCTGATTCCTCTCCTCCCTCGTCGGCCCCGTACACGCAATAATCGCGTTCAGCAGGTCCAAATGAGAAGCCAAATAATTCGTCGCGTCCCACTCCACACCCCCGACGTAGGGCGCCGCCGGAACGGGAGGTCGTTCCTGTGGGAAATGCCGCTCCATGTACCCCTCGTGAGTAAACACAATCTCAGGCGAGGTCTCATCCCGTGGAGGGGGCAAGGCCACAATGTTGAGGTTGTGCAGAAAGATCCAAAAGACTTCCTTGGTGACGTTGACCACCTCCTTGTTCCAGACCCGGTAAGGTCGCGGTTTCTGCATCTGGGCGATGAACTCGATTGTCTGGCTTGTTTTTATCGGGTCAGGGTCGCGGAGAAAAGACAAGACGGTGCTGGCGCGGGTGATTTTCTCGCCGGGAGAGGGCGCGTGCTGGATGTAAGTGAACAGGATGGAAGTGATAATGTTCCTCGTGGTGAACTCGGACGGCCCCTTCTTTTCGGGGTCAAAGATGAGATGCAACAAAGAGGGGAAGAGGGTCGCGTGGATGGTGTGGAGGTATTTCAGCGCCAGCGAGGTGGTGCAGAGCGCCTTGAGGCAGAGGAGGACTTCGTGGAGGAGCGCGTCTTCGTGTTCCTCTCTTGCGAGTCAAAAAAGTGTTAGTAACACGACCGAGAGGGGCGGGAAATAAGGGGAAAACAAACCTCCACTCCAACGCCATGATCCTCTTCAGCAAATCCACAATCTCCTCCATCCCGCACTGCCTGATAAACTCCTCGATCCACGCCACCGTCTCATTCCTCAACAACAACCTCAACTTGTGCAGCTTCCCCACCTCCACCAGCTCCGGCTTCTGAACCTTGCGCAAATAACTCACAAAGTCCCCCGGCAGCTGCTGGCCCTTCACCTTGGCTATGAAGCCAGTATACAGCCCCCCGCCCGTCAGCTGCTGCCCATCCCCCCCTCCCCCCTGCTGTCCCTCCCCCCCACTCTCCCCACCCCCAACCAAACTCTCACTGCTGCTCTTCCCCCTAAAATGCCTCCCGAGACTACTATCCCCCTTCTTCTTCGTCGGGCTCTTCTCCCCACCACCACCACCACCACCACCACTCCCATCCCCTTTCCCACCTCCCCCCCTCCCAAGCGTCAAAGACAACCCCCTCCCGTGCTTTTTCTTCTTTGTCGACTTATCCCCGGCCGCTGCCTCATCCAGTTCCCTCTCCGTCGGCCGTCCCCTCGCTCCAACATCCATCGACCCCCGCGCGAGATTCACACTCTGCCTCCCCTCCATCCCCACCTCCTCATTCTTCTTGGCCACCATCTCGGCCCAATCCTGACGAATAAACTCCATCTTCACCGTGTCGGACAAATTCCTCATCTTGTACCGCTGATTCTCAGGGATGTTCCTCCTGTCAAGCATAGCCTCCAGATGCCTGTCAATATCCTGCGGCTCAATAGCCGGTAAGTCGGCAGTATTGCTCCCCGCTCGTCCCCTGGGTCTCCCGCCGCTCCCGCCGTTGGGAACCCGCGTGGTGCTCTTGCTCCTGTTTGAACTCCCCGACCCTCCACCAAAATGGTTATTCAAACCAGCCGGCGGCCTCTCCCCCACCACCACCCCTCCAGAATCCTTGTTCTTATCCCCCCCCCGTCCCCAAGTCAACCTCTTGAAACTGATCCCCACCCCTTTCTCCCTCTCCCTCTCCCTCCCCCGCTCTTCCTCCCCCCGTTCCCTACTCTTATCCCTCAGCCCACTCCCCGTAACATAACTCGTGAAGCTCTTCGGCCGAGGCCTAACCCCCATCCCCCCCGGCCTCGTCGTGATCGGCGGTCTCGAGACCCCATCCCCCCCCCTTTCCCCTTTCCCTCCTCCTTTATCCCCACCACCTGGAATCACAGAATGAGTCCCCGAGCTGCTGTTCCTGATAGGCAACTCCACCGGCGGACTGGTGCTCAACCCCCCGCTCGCAAACTGGGCGTAGATCGGGGGCGGACTCTCCACTCCCCCCGGTGAGCGGTTCTCCTTGTCCTTCCCCTGCCCGCTCTCATCCTCCCCGTTCTTGAGGTTCTTATAACTCTTCGGCCGGAGGAGCAACCCCCCAAGATTGGTGGCCGATTTCGCCTTTTTCGGCTTCACCGGCGAGGATGATGATTTGGGCGGTTTGGAAGTCCCCAGCGCCTTGAGGGTAGAAAAAGAAGAGAGTTTTGTCGGGGAGGATGGCGGGGGGTTGTTGGAGGTGTATTGCGGGTCGAACCGCCCTCTCGGAACGGGGGGTGGACGTTCAGCAGCGGAGGAGCGTGTGTTATCCTGACGGTTCTGAACCAATTCCTCCAGGGCGTACCCGTGCCGGGTTATGGGGGGGTAGCGGCTTGTGCTGATTGGGTTTGTCGGGGGCATGACCGGGGAGGTGGGCGGTTCCCAGCCTACGTGGTACACTCCGGCGCGGTTGATGGCGGCGAGGTTTTGCTCCGAGGCGTAAAAGCCTGGGTTGGTGGCTATGTTTGGTGGGGGGAGGGTGGTTGTGCCGTCGGAGTTGTTGCGCTTGTGATGGTGGTGGCTGTGGACGGGGGGGGTAGGGGTGCTGTGGCTGTTGCTGTTGCCGTTGATGAAGGAGCGGAAGACGGAGGATTTGTTGCGCTGGTGATGGTGATGGTGTTGGGAGGAAGGGTAAGCAGCAGCATCATATGCCTCTCCCCTGCTGCTGCTGTTGTTGTTGTTGTTGTTGTTGTTGTCCAGCGGCGGGGGCACCATGGTATGGAGATACCCAATTGTCTCTCTCAATCAACTCAAGGTCGTTCCTCGGAATGCTGTATCCTTCTCCCTGAAAGCCCGCGTTTCGTTGAGATGGAAAAGAAATGCTTGGTAGGTAGTGAAATACCGACTCGACTTGAACTGGGCTTGACTTGAAAACACACCCGGTTTAGGTCGCTCGCGATGCAAAAATGCCAATTTCTCTCTCCGGCGACGACGACAACTAGAAAAAATGCCCACAAAAAGAAAAGACAAAAAACACTCTCGTCGTGTCGTGTAGTGTGTCGGTGCTGGTCGTGGTCGTAAAGTTATGCCATGCTTTGCGCTTCTGCTGCTGCTGCTGCTGCTGCTGCGTGTTGCTTCGGGTGACGTCGAACGCGCGCGTGGAGAGTGAGTGGGTGAAGTGGGTGTGGACAAAGTAGGGATGTTTCCTGCGCTCAGGTTGGCTGGAAGTTTCCCAGTTCTGGCTTCTGGTAGGCCCAATGAGGGTGGTTGTGTGCTTGTTTACCGGGGGTCGCCCCGTTGCCAGGGTGATTGCGCCTCGAAATCAAGGCCCGAAACACCGGAACCGCTTGGACGTGCCGAGGCCGTTTGATAAGATAGATACAGAGTACATGCCCCGCGATTTGACCCCACCATGGTTTTGTTCCCTTGTACCCTTTGGCCACAAAGCAAATCAACAACAAAACTTGGATTTAGCAGACTGGGCCCACCGCTCTAGACAAGCACCAAAAGTAAACAAACACCATCCATCTACAAGCTCTACTACCAACTCATCAACCCTCTTCCTCTATCGAACCCTCCTCGCAACTGGCTTAGTGGTTTCACCACCTTGCCCTGCAAAACCGTAAATTTGACGATGCCTTCGCAGTCTTCTGGCTTCACTCTCGCCAGCCAGATGCATTGCGCTGCACCCAAGTCGTCCTCGCCCTCCTGTGGCTTGATTGGCACCACGCGCTGCCTCTCCTCCTCAGTCAGCTTGCCCAGCTCCACCTCGTCCAAACCGAATGCGTCTGGTCTCCGATAAATCATCACATTGGCGCTGTACTTGTGTCCTCCGACGTGACTGATAAAGTAGATGCCCACGCCCCCTGGTCGTTCATCGTCTAAATCGCGGTAGAGACCTAGTGGTGCTAGGTGCCTCTGGAATTCTTTTCGGAGAAGAGGCGCGCTCTGGCCGCAGCGTGCATCGCGGGTCTTTTGAGAGCAGAGCAGGATAAGAGCGCGATGTGGTGACGGCCGTGTTGTGATGTCCTTCAGCATGGCAGGCGTTGGTTCTGGAAGATGGGCTGTCATGGATGGGGGGATGGAAATTGGCTCGAGTGGCGAGGTGTTGGTAGGTGAATCGTTGATTATGGACACCAATGTAGGCACAGTAGCAGGTGTGACGTTTTCGACGACGGCGAAGGCAGGCAGTACGAGGACGGTCGTCGGTTCAGAATACGAGGTGGTCCGATGCGGTGTGGGAATGTTGGAGGCAGAGACCATGAGGCGCTGGAAGATGGTCACATGCGTGTCAGTAAGTTTGTCCATCAACTGACGGAAGTCATCGGGAACGTACACCATTGCTGGGAGCTTTGGCATGCGAGATGGCCTGCATGATGCTCCCCTTTTCATCCGCAACATCGCGCACCCAGTCTGATTTGCCCGTCGCAACCAGAACATGCGTGCTCCATCCTTTCACAAAGCCGTAGAGCGCATCGGTTTCGTCAATCTTGAATGATTTTGGGTACTGGACAACGCAATTGCTGCAGTCGCGGTCGCAATCCTCGCCGTCGATCTCCTTGTCCACGACGGGAAAAAGGTCCGGGAGCTCGGCCTTGCTGCCCGAGTTGCCTATGTAGAGGGCCTTGGCGCTGTTGATGAGTGATTTGATGCCGCTCGCCATCGTGTCTGTTGACCGTTGCGAAGCTGTTGGAATAACGAACAAGGAAGCTTGTCAAACATGAGTTAAGGGTGACAGGCGCCAAGGGTGTGAGCTCCCGGCGGTGGCGGCGGGTCGGACTTTCGGAGGTAAGGGTGCCCGGTATGCGGCTGGCCTTCAGCTGGTCCCGGTGGCCAGCCTTTTGGCGGGGGCGGGGTTATGTGTTTTCCTTGGGTTGGTGTTGAAAACAGTTTGATGTCTAGGAATTCGAGTCGGATGTTGAAGTGTAAAGTTGATTATCGGGAACTCCGGGGTCGGTCTTGAGATTTGCGGTCAGTAAGGTGCTGACAGAAATCTACAAGCGGTACAAGACGTCACCGCCGGGCGAGACATCGGAATAGTCCTTGTGGTTACGGGATGCCCGGCACCGAATCGGTCTCTTTCTTCCTTCGTCAGCCCCTTGAGCGACATTGCACAAGTGTAGTCGTAGGGTTAGGGTCAACAACAAGCTATCCATCACCAGCGCTTGAGATCCCAAGTTTGGTAAAATGCATGCATGCACTCCGCGTTTCAGCAAATGGCCGGCATTGGCTCCAACCATTGTTTTCCATCAAGAGGTTTCTCTTTCCCCGCATTTTGAGCCCTGCAGTGTTAAAGCGAATAGAACCCTGAGATCCGAAGAAGAACTGAAGGCTTCCAGAAGACATTCCTCTTCAAAGATCTTACGACATATTCCGATGGGTTCCCCAGCCTTCGTCCCCTTTTTCAGAAAGTGTCTCGTGGACGGCAGAAAACATCGGCGGTGCCATTTTCCTCGACTCAGATCCCTAGCTTCTCGCGAGACCATATATGGATGGCTCTAACGTTTCCTGCCACCATCCATCTACGCATCCCCCCCGCCCCCCTCCACTGCGGGTTGAAGGTCGCGTCCCGCCCTATAAGGCTCAGAAAGGAAACTTTATTAAGATCTCGGCCGACAGTCTGCAGCGGTCAAGTGGACGCCCTTGTGCAGAGCACACCCCTCCCGCTGACGGATGATGGAGTCCCGCCACCATCAACAGACTCGAGACAGGCTGTTCTTGGACTCACCAACCCTGGACTTTGTGTGCAGGCTACTCTTCTACCATGATCGCTCCCCCAGCGGCAGGGCCACCTGCCCATGATGCGGGTCTTGGCTTTTTCTCAGACGCTCTGGGGGTCCAACAGGAATAATTCCACGATTCAATCTCATGATGATTTGCAGGGACTATGCCTGCGTCCTGTTTTGGTGTTGGCTGCTCGTCCAGTGTTCCAAGAATCCAGATCGGGCCCCAAGTCCCGAGTAGACCACTTGATGGGTGGGTCGGTGGGCTGGACCCCGGGCTGGTGCGGACGTCATATGCGAATCCCACCACACTCCCGTCCAAGTTTATAAGTCATAGATGAGCCTTCATCTTGACCCGTCATTCTGGAAGTTCTACCCGTGTCTCTCACACACTTACCTTGATATCAACCCGCATTGTTCACGTTTTCTACTGCCTAAAACTGGAAATTCCTTTTGATCAGGCAATGGAGCAACTCAAGGGCGGTTTGTTGGTCGCCTCACCCGCCGGAGGACATACCGGGCCGAAACTCAGAAAGAAGCTCAGAAAGACCGTGTCAAAACAACGAAGCACCGTTTCCTGGCGGCTCGGCTTCTCGAGCTCAGCATCCACCAAGAATGATCAATCCGAAACCGCAGACAAGCCGCCTGTCTTGTCGTTACCATCTCCCGACCTGAGCGATCCAAAATGGTCAGAGTTCTTCAAGAATGGGGGATGCTTTTATCCACAGGATGAATCCGTGAAACCCGCGCAGACATCGCAGACTTCGGTGTCTTTGGAGTCTTCGAAGCCCTCACAGTCCCCGGAGGCTTCAAAACCCTCGCTCTCAGAGCCCTCGAAGGCCTTGCAGCCAGCAGAATCACGAGATACCCTACACGAAGGCCAGATTGTTCCCGAACTTTCGCACCTCGTCATCAGCGACAGTGACGCCCAGAAGCGAATGTCAATGTGCTCCAACTCGGAAGCCCCAGCAAGTCCCAGGACGGCCATGAGACGGCGAGCCAAGACACCCATATTCTCAATAGGACAGCTGGAGGGCATTCCCAGACCAAGCAACGCGCTGGCCAGGGCATCGACCGTTGAACTCATCGCAGAACAATACCGGGCCCTTTTGGAATCAGACAACACAGCTCGTGAGGCGTCACATTCCGAATCCCATTCAGAACCGCCTCCATCTCGCCAAGAAAGGCGGTTATCCATCCGACGCCGACAAAGTTCAGATCATTTGCGGGATGAATCGAGAGCCCCCCGCCCGGTGGATGCGGCTTCTGGCTCACCGATATCAGACGATGGGACGCTGGTGAGCTTCGAGGAGGAGACGGTGTACTTTAAGCCTGTGTCCTTCTCCCCGGAACCATCACCCCGACCACCGCCCGGCAGCATCGCAAATGCGCCGGCGCCTGATAATCTCAGTCTGCAGATATGTCTGGATTTGCTTACGAGGGATCTGGCTTCTGCGCTGGCTAGTCGGCCTAGCAGGACGAATTCGGAGACGTCGGCGCTGCAGGTTTGGGTTATGATTGAGGCTTATGAACGGCTGAGGGATCAGTTTGGGAGTGCTGGGCTGGGGTGCGAGGAGTATGGTGCGTTGGAGGGCATGTTGAACTTTTGGTTGAGGGCGTTGTATTCGATACATGATAATTTGACGGGGGGTGATCGATATAGTGAGAGCGATTATGGGGAGGAGCCTTGAGACGGAGGACCTGGATTAGAACTGGAAAGTGATGCCCTGGGAATGGTTGGATATCGAGGCGTTTTGGGCATGTTTTTATCACATCACAAGCACAAATATTCTGCTAGGATATCAACTGCCCTTCAATATCTCGAGAGTGACACTGGTGATGATTCTCATGGCCCCCGCACCTTCAACCCCCCGCTTTTAGCGACTGCTGTGACGTCGTCTCCACTCTCGCTCGGCCAACTGCCGAAGCCCCGATCCTTGGCACGTGTCAGCGCGGCTTTCCAAGCCCCACCTGGCGCGTCACTGAACGAACGAAGCCATCGTCCATCGCCAGACAGAGAGAACACCACCAACCACCACCACCACAAAAATGGACGACGATTTTGGCGCCGACGCCGAGTTTTTGGATGCCCTGGCTTCCTCAACCGATGCCATCACTTCTTTGAATAGCAACAAAACCAACAAACAACCACTACCACCACCACCACTACCACCGCCACCGCAACAACAGCGACCCCCGGGCCCGCCCGCCTTTCTCCCACCCAAAATCCAACAACCCACCCCCCAGCGAGTAGAAAAACCACCACCACCGCAACGGCACGCCTCCACCGCGTCAGGTCCCCCAAAAATAGTCCAACCAACCCCCCAACCCCTCCCCTCCCGAGCCAGCGGCTCGGGGTCTTCAATCCTCGTATCCCCGCGGCAAAAAGGAAACCCAGTGCTAGCCTGCATAAAGTCCATACCGTGGGAGTACTCAGACATACCAGCCGACTATGCCCTCGGGGCGACCACCTGCGCCCTTTTCCTGAGCCTTAAATACCACCGCCTCCACCCAGAATACATCTACACCCGCATCCGCCTCCTCCAACAAAGGTTCCTCCTCCGGATCTTGTTGGTGCTTGTCGACATTCCCAACCACGAGGACTCCCTCCGCGAGCTCTCCAAGACTTCCCTTGTGAATAACGTCACTGTTATTTTATGTTGGTCGGCGGCCGAGGCGGGGCGGTATCTCGAGCTGTATAAAAGCTATGAGCATGCGAGCGCGGCGGGGATAAAGGGGCAGCAGGCGACGGGGTATGCGGAGAAGTTGGTTGAGTTTGTGACTGTGCCGAGGGTGGTGAACAAGGCGGATGCGGTGGCGCTGGTGGGGACGTTTGGGAGTTTGAGGGGGGCGGTTAATGCTGATGGGGAGACGCTGGGGACTGTGGGGGGGTGGGGGGAGAACACCATACGCCGCACGTAGTACGACCTCACTCCACGTGAGCACCATAAAGAAGATGCACTGGGGCGACTACATCCCTTAGCGTTTCATTGAAAACAACCACAAAAACGCCGCCAACGCGCCTTACACCCATCACATCCCGCA